GCCCCCCGGGTTGTTTTTTTTTTTTTTTTTTTTAATGTTCCTTTAAAAAAAAAACAGTAAAAAAAGGTCACTCTCTCCCCAGTAGTAGTGTAAGGTTCTGGCAGATTGCCCAATTCTATCTCATTCCTGGGCTACAAGCTGGATTTCAGTTCAACTTCCTGAATTTATGATTATCACAGACCATTGTGAAGATGATAGGTGTCTTATGGGAAAGTCAGTGTAATTGGGATTTTGCAGGGTAAAAACTAGAAATTATAGTATGTGAAGGCTTGTTCTGCATCACAGCAGCAAACTTTGTGCATCTTGATTCAAAAAAAACTAAGCGATGATGCATTTTTTAAAAAACAGGTGCTGGTAGAGGTAATTTGCTGCTGCTGATCGCTATTACTTGGTCCTAAAGATGCTGTTGAAGTAACCCAGCCCAGAGAAGGTTGCGGAAAATGAGAGGAAATTTAGGCAAGAGAACTTGGATCTGCAGATGCCTGAGAAAACCATCCCGCTGTCTTGAGGCAGCCACGGGCATTTTTTGGGTAGTGATGAAACACGTGATGAGAATAAGCAGAGGGAGTAGTCATGGGATTTTTTTTCTTTTCCAGCAACAGTTTTTGTTAGGTTTTGTTAGTTTAAAGTTCATGTGAAATAACATCTGTGATGTGGAATTCTGCAATTAGACTGATAGTTACAGAACGTGTAGTGTGTTGGAAGAGTAGGTGAACTTTTTGTGAGAGTCATGTAGGAGAGAGCGCAAAGATGGGACTGTTTGACCTTTTCCATAAATTGCTCAAAGTTGGAGCATGTGCTGTTCAAGTAACTGCTCCTGCTAATGGGACTTTTATTTCTCAGGTCACTTACAGCTGCCTCTGAATGCAAAGAGGGTTTTTTATTGTTTCCATTTTTTGGTATTTTATTTTGTATGTGTGTTTTTAGCCCTTACAGGAGTGCACTATTTCAAGAAATTACACCCCTTCGTAGGTTGGTGATTGCTCTCTGTCCTTCCCCATCAGAGATTAGTGTTTGCCAGCAAGTCATAAAATGGATTATTTATTCTGAATGTGGTGCAGTTAGACCACTGAGAATCTTGTCATGTGCAGAAACACAGGCCAAACAGTATTTGCTGTTTTTTAATAGCTAGATAATCGAATTAAAAATATATATAAAAACACCAGAAATCTGCAATACAAAATCTGCAATTTTTTTCAAGAACTGCATAGTGAATTAAAAGCAATGAATTCCTTATTTCTACTTTTCCTGAAGACCCTGTAATTACTACTCTATTGCACTGTTCCAAAAGAGAATAGATAAGGATGGAAATGAAAATCTTTATTTCAAGACCTAACTCAATCTTCTTATAGAAGTAATTAGAGTAAAATAAGTGTTAATTTTACAGACTTCAAAAATTCACAGATAGATAAGACAAAATGCCACAATACTGGAAAAGCAGTTTGTGCTTTTTTTGTTTTTCACCTCCATTGCCAGTTGTGAAGCTCACGATTTGCACACACTCACAACTGTTACCAGTGAGTGGCATTCCGGGCACACATAAGGAGTGCAGGTAAAACTAGTGGTGTTTGGTGAATTTTGGGTGAGATGCACACAGTTTATTGTCTCATGTGGAGGGAAACTGGCTTTGTTCACACAGACAAATGTTGGTAATTTTGACTTTAAGTGACTCCATCAAGCACCATCAATGGCCTGAGTTCTCACTGGGGCCCCTAACCCTGATATGCTCTTAAGTCTTTTTGGATACTTTCTGGATACTCAGAATTTGTTTTCATAAAATTCATTTGTAGAACAGAGTAAGGAGGGACATGATAACATCAAATGTAATTACAGTTAGCTGATCTTTGTGAAGAAAAAATATTTCTTGTTTGAAAAATGTTTCTGAGACTTAAGTTTGATAATTAACATTTAAAACGATACCTATATTGAACATTGAACATGTCTTGAAATATTTAAAACAAAGCAAAGGTCAGTTATTGTCTACTGTAATGTTACCTCTATTATTTGTGGAAGCAAAAAACCTCCAGAATGGTTACCACAAGTACTGGCAGTTCTAGTAATGCTATTAGGTATTATACAGATTATGTACTATTGCCTTGGGTATTATGAAACCGCACAAGTTACACTGCACATCAAGTTTTAATTTTAGCAGCTCTGAGATAGGAGAGTTAACAGAAGTTTAAATCATTTTCCTGTGTTCAGAGCAGATGCTACAGTGTGACTATCAGAAACATTTTTACTCTATTCTTCAGGAAAACCAGTGCTGGAGCACCCTTTGCTTTTGGGGACAATTGCTGAGGGATTTTGAAGGTTTCACTTCAGAACTGAATTCTGTTCAGTGTAAAAAGTAAAGAAAGCTACTAGTAATTGCAGTTTTTTACTTTATTAAACTGAATTATATGGATGTGTTTTGTTGAAATAAGTTTTATTTTAGTATTACATTTTGATTTGTGTAATTGTTTGTCCCTTTTTTTTTTTACGTTTTTTTTTTTTTTTTTTCCATAGCCATTCTTTGCCCCATATGTTTACATGCCAAGGTATTACCCTGGCAGTTCTCATCTCATCTCACGTCCACCACTAAAAACGAGTTTGTCCAGGGATCAGAACAATGGCCTAGTAAGTATTTTGAAGGGTAATTCGCATACTAACCTAGACAATAAGTATAGTGAGTAATGCAAAACGAAGCTCATTAGTGGTGATTCAGTACTAGACAAGTAGAAGCTCTATTTTTAAAATACTTTAAGTAAACATGTTATGTAAAATGTATTTTGTTTTTAACCCTAAAAGTTATTTACAGAAGAAAATTAATTTTATTATTCAGGTAGCAAGTTTAGAGGAGTATGACGTGCAGGGTTGTCAGGAAAATGTTTTAATGGCAGTAAATTGATATGAGAAAAAAATGCCACTTGTAAATGTATGTGCTAATTTTACAGGAATAAAAATTTTCTGACATATTGGGAGAAAGTAAAATGGCACCTCTGGATTTTGCAAAGAGTACAGGAAATTGGAAGGCCTAAGTAAGCAAAATTTTTTAGAGTTTAAAAGAAAAACAAAATACATTTTATGATAAGCATGCATCAATTATAGCTTTTTCTTGTAAGTACATACAGTTCACCTTTATTTACATGTTAAAAGTAAAAACGAACACACTTTTCTAGGTTCCTGTAGAATAATAAAATTCCTAACAATATTTATTTTATTGACATAGATTGCTGTTCAAATGGAATTATGAACTAAGGAGAGCTAAGAAATGAGCTAAAAGCCTCATTTGTCATTTACTTTAATTCTAGACTATTGACCAATTGAACAAGGCTATTAAAAGGTTTCTAAATCTTTTTTAATCACTAAATTGTTTCTGTTGAATTCTGTATTATTATGAGATCATTCTCATTCATTGCTTATTTCATATTTTTGTTGAGCCCTTAATCATTTTACCCAAACCATAATATTTTGTTGTTGTTAGGATGTTATCAAGGAGGATGCTGATGAGGGTCTTTCTTCACCCACAGACCCCTCAATGGTAAATGAGTAGTCATGTGGTGTGGAAATTTTAGCATCTGATTGCTTTTTCAGCAGTAATGAGTCTGCATTAATCATAACTGCAGTTCACTAACACTGCATCAATGGCTTTGGTGGGCAAATAGTTAGAGTAGTTGAAGACTAATATAGTTTGTGAGCAAATTTAAGAGCTAATATTTCACTTATGTGGTGTATTATATTTTTCCCCTGTAGTTTTCTGCTTTCCTTTCTCGGTAGCTGTGGAGAGTTTTCCATAAAGAGTGTGGTGGTAGCTAGATGGAGTAAGGAATGACAGTTAGCCATTCGTTACTTAGATTTCTAGACTGAAGTAGCTGACCTGTATCTTTTTCCTCTTTTAGTCATCCCTACTTTTTAAGTTGGTTGCAGTTCTTAAAGTACAAAGAACTTTCCATAAAAATGATGATGATAAAAAAAAAATCTAGATCATAAGCTTATTCTTAAGTCAGTGTGCTAACATCTTTCTATTCATGACTTGTCTTCATTTCATCATAAATACTCATACAAAGATGTGTTATTTAAAGGTATCTTTTTTTACTGTAACCATGGAAGTCAGTGAAAAATTATTATTTACTATTTACTACTAAAGCAAAAGGTTAATACATTTTTTTTATTTATTGCCAAAGCAAAAGGTTAATGCAGTTTTAATCATTTTCTTAATAGCTTGCTGCCAGTAGATGTTGGCAACAGTTGTAGTTTGACCTCAATTACTTATTCTTCTAGTAAATTGTTGCAAAAACCAGAAGTCTTTCCATTGCTGTGCGATGAAAAGCAACAGCAATCCACGCGAATCGGGAGCTGCTGCATCTCTAGCAGCCCTAAAGCCCCTCTGTTGTGGGTCGGTGGTGCCTTGGGTGAAGGGGTGACCTTGGGGGTAAGATTCTCCGTTAGGATATTTTTGGGGATGCTGCTGCCTTCCCCGCGTTTGGGGCCTTATTCGAGTATCCAGTCCCTATCCCAGCCGTGTCAGCACAAGGAAAAATGTAAAGGATTTTTGAGGAAGTGCAGGTGTAGTGGTTAGAGGAGGTGTGTGTGTGTGAGTGGGGAAATGGGATAGGGAATTGGGAATGATTGTACGAGCCTGTTCCTACAAAAGGCTGAGATCTGCTCTGGGGCAGGCCTGGTGGGCACTTTCCTTATTGCCCCGAGGTTGCGTCTGCAGCACGTGTAACCTGCTGTTTCAGCTATGCATCTAAGTTATGTGATAACACTGGCAGCATGTAGGAAAGGAAGGAATCATAGAATCATAGAATGCTTAGGGTTGGAAGGGACCTCTAGAGATCATCTAGTCCAACCCCCCTGCACACGCAGGGTCACCTAGAGCACGTGGCACAGGACTGCGTCCAAGCGGGTTTGGAAGATCTCCAGAGAAGGAGACTCCACAACCTCTCTGGGCAGCCTGTGCCAGTGCTCTGTCACCTTCACTGTTAAGAAATTTTTCCTTAAGTTCCTGTGGAACTTTTGGTGCTTCAGTTTGTGGCCATTACCTCTATTTAATTTAATCACTAAATTATTTTTGTTGTTAAAATAACAATAATGAATGATTTTACTATTTTTAGTCTTCAATTTCTACTTTAATTACTACTGTGAGTGTGTATAGTGCAGCATAGAAGGTCATTCACTTCTCATGGGTCAAGCCACATTATAAAAATAAATTGGTGTAATTGGTGTTCTTTATGATTTTGGCCATGCTATATAATGGAAATATTCTGAAATGTTTTTAGTTTTATCCCAGGTTCTTTGAAAATCTCTTGTGTCGTTCACAAAGATGGTGTCAGTCAGGACTGGTCACTCTACATGCCTTTTAGGATGCCCCATCAGAGTTTCTTCTGTTTTAAAACACTTCTTCTGCAGACTTTCTTGAAATTTCTGTGAAAGGGAACAGTATTAGTATTTAAGACACTGCAATTATCCACAGATGATGCGTGCAGTAATTTCATCCAGCTATTTAGGTGATAGATACAGTAATTTTATCCAGCTATTTAGGAAGCTCTCATTTGATGGATCATTGCCACTGTATATGATACAGCTTTAACTTATACCTTAGTACATGAATTGATGCATACAAAGCAATGAAGTGAACTAAAAATATGTATGAAATAGTTAATGAATGCGAAGGGCTGCCACTGGTTTGGTGATTGAAAAAGAGAAGAACATGCAGAATGAAAATTGTCTTTTACGCAAGCCTGGTAAGCAGCCAAAAGCGTTGCCATAGAGTTAGAGGAGCAAATTAGAGAAGAATCCTTATTTTGTGTGCTTAAATTATACAGGACAAGCAATAGAAACGAGGGAGTGAGACCCTTGCCATTGTTTTCAGTCTGACATTAGAACTGACTGAGTTCTGCAATTCAAAGTTCTAAGCACTTGGCTTATGAAGCTCATATAAATCTAGATTAGTTTAATGAAAATTGGTGGATTTATATTGGTATAAATATAGGGGCATTTTAAAAGAATATAATGCACTGTGAATAAATTGAGAGCAGTCACCATTTAAATATATAATTTGACTTCTGTCACTTACTTGAATTTTGTTGTTCATGAGATTTTTTTCAGTCTGAAGCCAGAGTTTTTGAGGAAATATGTTTAATTTTCCACAAGAGTAAGAGTGTTGTTTACTTAATGAAGCGAAACTTAGATGTCAAAGCAGTAAGTGATTGTGGACGTTACCTGTCCTACCATAAAGCCATGAGCCATGTGAGATTAGTTCTTACCATACTAGTCTGTTTTTCATTTTTCCCCTGGAATCTTCATGATTTTCCTCAGGAAACTTAGTGTCTTCCATTATTATCTGAATAGATAGTGAGTTGTGCCAGAAGCAGGGAGGTTTTGACAAATGAGTTTTGACAGAGCCAGAAGTTAAAGATTTTTGATTTCCCTGGCTCATTCTGCACTTTAGCTGGATGTAACCATGTGTATAACCTCGCATCAGCAAGGAGGCCCCTTGCAAAGTTCAGGCCTTTAGCTTGAATCACCAGTGAAAGGAGGTTTGAGTTCAGACACCAGCCTGGCACTTCCATGGCAAGGGTGGAACAGGCCGTGCTGCTCACCTTGCTGAACACGTGGGTGTTTCTGACAGCAGCTGTGCACATTTCTGTGGTGTTCCTTTAAAAAGTTTGTCACTGGGTTATAGTGTTGCCAGTACATGTCCATAGCATCTACTAATAATACCTGTTAGAGGTCAAGCTAGCATTAGTAGTGCTTGTCTGTAATGAATTTAATTGGCCATTTTAGTTTGCATTGTTAATTACATTTGCTAGGATATGGCTCGTTGCAATATAATTATATTGTTTTAAATACATTTTTTCATACTGAATTTAATTTTTAATGCCTTAAGATATAGTTTGTGGTGTTCTAACAAGAACTAAAATGGCCCCTTGCATGGACTGTAGATAAATCTAGAAGGTCCTTTAAGAAACTCGAAGTGCTTTTCTAAAGTTTGGGCATGACCGAGGGTTGGTGGTATGGGAGTTTTCCAGATGTTTTATTGTGGCATTGTTATACTTTTAATATTCACTCTGTTAGCTCTTAAAAATACCTCTTTGGTTCTGTTTTTATGCATGCTTAGATAAAAAGGTCTTAAAGGTAATTGAGATACATTGGTGATATAATGTAATCTTAAAATGGTCAGAAAGTGCTAGTTTACCGACAGAGTTTTCCATCAGAAACACGAGGAAAAGCTTTTATGCAAATGAAATGCAACAAGAATTCTGCCTTTTTTTTTTTTAACAAATGCAAAAAAAGAGTAGGCTTTTCTTAGGAAAATTGCATAGCATATACGAAAAGTATATTACAAAGGTCTGTCTTAAAAACTTCATTGCATTCTGTCTCAGTGCTAATTTGCTCTGTTGTAAAGTTTAATGCATGCTATCTATACCTTGGAATGTGTTTTGATGTGTCACTTGAAGTTGTTGTTTCTTTTCGTTCTGTTTTGTCCCCTCTGAAAGCCGTGTAAGTCTGGGTTAAGCAGACACAGACAGGTACAGCCACTTTCTGTGAGTTACTGCTCCCTTGTTTGAGAGTCATCTCAGAACTGTCATACTGGCACTTCATGCTGGGCTGGCTCTAAACTAATGCTCATTACTAGCCCTGAGGTTTGTTTTGACAAGCTGCTTTTAGCTTTTGCATGGCAAATACTTTTCAGACTAATGTTCTCTAAGCATCCCTAGCAAAACCACTAAGGCTGAAAAATGTGTCAGTGTAAGTGGAATTTTAATTCACTTACACCCTGATGATATCCCTAAAGCTGTTACATTACTTGCTCTTCAGACAGTTCTTTATAAGAAGAATGATTTGGATTAATATGTATCTATTTCAAACAGTTCACACTTCAACAAAAATAGTCTAAATATTTTAGCAGTTTTTCATAAACTTTTATATACGCAGAAAGAAGAGTTTCTAAACTAACTCCTAATGCATGCAGAAATAATGACTTGCCTCTGACTGATAAAAAGTATTTTGATTTAAAGCAGAACTGTTAAATTAGAAATGTTGAAAACTTTTCTACATTTATTTGTGGCTAACAATAGGTAGTGGTTTAATAGATTCAGGGAACAAAGGCTATTGAAATTCCACACATTGCTTTGGAATCGTTTACTTCAGCAATGCCATAATCTAGTTTTGGCTGTAATTATTTCTTTCACTTTAATTGATAAGTTCTCTTTCAAAAACGAAGAAAAAAAACACATTTTTTTTGAATTAGCTATTGTGTTTATTGATGTGTTATTATCTAACTTGTGTTTGGGAAAACAATAGACAAAATCATTTGTTAATCTGAAGAAAAATTAAAAAGAGATTTTAAAAAATAGGAAAAATACAGATTTGCCTGAGAATAAAGCAGGAAATAGATGAAACTTCTTCCTGTCATCATCATTTTGCTGGTTGGCCTATATCCTTAATTTGATGAGGATTTTAGCTATGCTAAAAATTGATCTTGATAAAGATCTAAACTTCCTCCTTCAGGGCCCTATATATATAACAACTGGTTAGGTGTTACAGGCATCTAGTTAGGGAGACACTGGAGAATCTGAAATTTCCTCGTCTTCAACAGAAATAGCTAGGTGCCCAGGTTCTAGTGCAAGCAGAATGCTTAGATTTTATGCAGTATTTTAGGTAGAGTTCTTACCTAGAAAATGAGGCTGTATCTTTTGTTTCTGAAGTGTCTTGTTCACATCAAATGCCAATACATATCTGGTACAAAAGCAAGGGTTAGAGCCTCCGATCTGTCTCCAGCCCCTGGGCTCGGAGCCTGCAGTGCTTGTGCACAGAGATGTTTGCCTGCGTTCAGGGGAAGCGCAGCGGGAAGACGCCTCGTTCCCCAGAGCAGGACCTCTCTGGTAACAGCGAGTTTTAAATAACCCTCAGGTTAAGTGGTAGTAGGGAATGAGTTTTTCGATCGCTGTCTCGGAATTTAAATAGTTAAGCAGATTTTTCTAAAATCCTGATTTAGACAATTTAGATATGGCTAATATTATTCAACAGAACAATACATTTTTTTGTTTTCGTGGGTAAATATCCTTGGGCTTCTTATATTAATTCTGGAAGCTAAATAGCTTTGAAGTAATTAAATAGAAATGGAAAAAATATTTTAGGATTATAAAAATAGTCTTCAGTGATGATTGAGGAACATAGTCAAACTTGAACTCTGGATATTCAAAATTAACTTTTACATCCCAGGGTTTGCTCATGTGATGAGCTGCTCTGAAGCTTCAGAAGTTCTTTTGTAGCCTCCCAAATGAGCTTCATTCCTATGTATGGTCAGCAGTGCTGAACACAAAGCTTGGTCTGTTCCCTTCCAAGAGAAGTGGCTACAAGTGTTTCACTGCTGATAGAGCTAGTTCTGGTTTTGGTGTTAGCAATTTAGTGTAACTAGCTCAATTGCTGAGAGCTTTGCACATCATGCTGCTTAATGCATAAGCGTCTGTCCATGAGACAAGCTTCTTTGAGGACACACTGTCTTAATACCCTGATTTATTTGTCATTTCATTCATTTTCTCTTTCTACACTTCCTTTGAAATGCTTAGAAGCTGGCAACGTTATCAGGGCAACTTTCATTTTCCAGATATGATCTGTGAATAATTTCTACTTGAATCTAGCCAAAGCTACAGACACATGAAACTGTCCTAGTGTTTCGGGGGGCAGTGACAGTGCTTCGTCACCTCTGGGGGATGGTGGTTTGCAGCCCCCAGGTGATCTTGCATAAACATAGCTGAAGGGACCTCTGAAAAATTGACAGATATTGGTAACATTATCCAGTGAGTCGTGTTGTAGGTTATCTTTGTCTAAAGCTAAACCAGGAATTTTTAAAACAGTAAATTCAAAATTGCATCTGAGATTTAAAAACAAAACAAAACAAAAAACCAAGCTACTAAAGTCAATAGTAAAGAAGATGGATTTGAGATAGATTAACCCTTACATAGTTCTGTTTTTTTATGTTGTTCTTCAATAACATTTAAGAGTATTTTCTCACATAGGTAAGACTCAAGCTGCTTTGTTGTTTGCATATAAATAGTAAAGTCATTGCTTCCCAATATATAGAGATGCTGCTGTTAGTTAAAGATGCCTGGCCATCCTTGTTCTTGTTGATATAGAAATGTGTTTTAGCACAATTCGATTTGTGTTCGTGTTGTCAAGTCCTGGGTGTACTGGGTGCTTGCACAATTCTTACACTTCTGTTTTTGCTTCTCATAGGGAGCAGGAGCAGGCACAGGGTCGGCCACAGGAGTGTCCCTTGTGCCTCTGAGCACAATGAGCGTGGAAACTGTGTGCGAGAAGCTCAAGCAGATCGATGGGCTGGACCAGACTATGCTTCCTCAGTACTCTGCAACTATACGAAAGGTGTCTGTTGAGTTTCATTAATGTATTTAATGCTTGAGCATAAGCCTTTTTTTCTTCGAAATGTACTCTGAATATCTGAACATTTACTTCCATACGTGCTAGCTTGAAACACATTTTCAGTAAAAGCTTTTGTTTCTCAGAGAAAGTCCTCTCTTACAAGAAAGGAATCAGAAATGTGAAGGATTGCTGGTGATGAGACTGGATTATTTTGAGAGAAGAAACATGAAAAATAATTTCAAAAATGCCATGCCTAGATAGATCCGGTGTGTTGTAAATGCATTCTGTATCCCGGTGGCAGAGAAACTGGCACATCTCTGTTGTATGTGAGAGTGATGAGGAAGATTCCCTTTCTGTCCTATCATAATCCACCTCTGTTTGCTTCAGAAAAGCCCCATGGGCCTCTGACACACAAAAACAGAATTATTTCTCTTTGTGTGGCTTTTCTCCCCATTCTCTGCCTCTTCTTCTGTACAAAGGAAGAGGGGAAAAATAAGGAGCTTTCACTAATGTTTTTGGTGAGCTTGCTTTATCCCAGTACCTGTTATAGCTCCAAAGCAAACAGAGAAGATGTTGAAGGTCAGACTGCAGCTTGGTAGGCCCAGCTGCAAGAATTTCTGGTGCTTCAGTGGTTCCAGGGTCCTGAAAGAATGTGCATGTTACTTCATTAGAGAGATCTCTTACTTTTATTCTTGCATTTCTCACTGCAAGCAGTCCAGTTCTGAACAGGAAGAATGAGAAAGGTTCATTCTGGGCTTTTTCCTTGTTTGAGTAAAACTGTCTACTTGGCTATGGGAAAAGAACCTATTACTGTTTGACTGAGAAAACTATGGCAGTAGATGTAGCTGTCTATAAAAACGTTCTACCATTAGTGTCTTGTTTCCTTACGTAAGTTTATAGAATGCAACTGCACTGCCTTTCACGTCCTTGTTTTGATAAGTTTAATAAAATATTTTCATGAAAGCTCTTTCTGTCCTTATTCAAAAGCTGTTCTCTGTTCCTTTCCTCTTTCCACTACATTCTTTCTGTGCTGTATCCTAGTCTATCAGCAATCACTAGTAAATATTCTTCTTATATTTTTTATATGGTATTGGATTTAAGATGGATGTTTGGAGAGTTTCCCTCGTGTATTCCATCAATATATCTGACTTCAATTACCACATTAGTCATTTGGTTTCTTACTCCACAAATCTCGTATTGGTAATTTACATTATTTTATTTTATTGCTTTAGGCAAATATCAATGGCCGTGTCTTGGCTCAGTGCAACACTGACGAACTGAAGAAGGAAATGAATATGAATTTTGGTGACTGGCACCTGTTCAGGAGCATGGTAAGATTTTTCTCTTCAGTGTTCTAGTCATCTTAATTAGTGGCCTTATTACGAACCTTACTTTTTCTTTCCTCTATTATTGTATTTTTTAATTATCTTAAAATATGAGTGCATTTACTATTGCTTCATCTTTTGGTTTGAGCACTTCACCTGAAAACTGGTTGCCTATGGATTTTGTATTGTAGTTGCTCATGAATGCTAAAGTCTTTCCCTCTTTTTACAACGTTTGCCCTTCCTGTATGGCTGGCTGCCTCCTTCTCCCCACCTTCTTACCTCTCCTTTTTTGAAACCAGCTGCTTATTTTTTGTGAAATTGTCAGAACTTCATCCTCCTTGAGGCCACTGCCCCTCTGTTAACTTGGTTGGAGAGGTCAAGTTTGATTTGGGAGATGGAGTAGCCAGCCTTTTAGAGATGCCTTGCACACAATTACATAAGCCCCATTTCTTAGGGAAACTAAGGTGAAAAACGAATCATTGAGTTAAATAGATTTACGTATAGCTGTGTAATACTGGAAAGGTGCATTCAGTACTAATACTGAAGCATACGTATATAGCTAGGAAATTCCCTCGTCTCATGCTCACATTTAGAGAGTAAATGACAGCTTTAGGTTGGGGGATATATATCCCTCAGAACTTTTTTTTTGTTTTCTCTGGGTATTTTTTAGTATACTGCCAATTTGCTTTCTAAAAACTACAGTATGTCTCAGAATTGCTAAATCAGTCTTGAAAACACTGAGAATTACAAGAAGAGGTTTATAGTCAGATTCAAGTTTATTAAAGCTATAAAACTGAAGTATTTGTTTTCTGCTCTTAAATTTGTGATTTAGCACATTGTTTTACAAGAACTTTTTGAAAATTGTTTATGGCATATAAATTCTTTCAAGGGTCTGTACAGTCTGTAAATAAAAGAAAAATCTCAAGTATTACAATGCGATCTGGAGTAAAGAATGAATGCCCTAGGTCTTTAAACAGATCTTTCTCACATATGCGAGTACACTTTTAAAACTGAATTACTTACTCCTATTTTTATACAGTTCTTATTTAACGCTCTTGAGAGTTTATTTTTTCTATTACGGAATGGCATCGTTCTTCCTTTTTCCCGTTAAGATACTTGAAATGAGGAGCTCGGAAAGCCAGGCGGCGCAGGAAGATGCCCGCGGCTCGGTCTGGATGAAGCTCCTCTGCGTCACAGTAACTTAAGCTGGCAGGTATTTAACAGGGGTGCTTGCTTGCTTGCCTAGAGGGCAAGGTTTCTCTTCCATTCTTAGATATAGGTCAAGAAATAAGTCTGCTGCAGTTCATGTGCTTTCACTTCTCAGCCTAGCCAAAGACTGAAGCTTTGCAGAGGTATAAACTCTTACCTATAATTGCTAATAAAGTTTCCAGCCTTTTCCCTCTGAAAACTGTTAATCTGTTCCCGGAATTACCTCTAGGAAAAGAGCCACAGCTATCATTTGTCATCACAGCTGTTACACCACACTCATCTTGCTTGATGCAGTCCTGTAAGATTTTTGTTAATCATTGTATTCAGACTTCATGTGAAATCATGAATATGAAATATTTTAGAATATTTCATGAATTAATATGAAATATTCTAGCTATATGCTAGTCAGAGGTCACACATTTTAAGGATTAGAGATTTATTTATTAATTTGTTTTCAAACAATCATGTACACCATTCAGTGACATGAGAGTCTTGTCCTGTGATGGTAAATGTAATCATACACTCCACACTTGACATCCTCCTGTAAATACTGTTTGTGCCACAGGTTATGGCCAATTTTCTATCCTTTGAAATCAGCCTAAGTACGTGAAATATGTGATAGAAACAGAACTTTTTGTTATTGTTGTTCTATTTGTTTACTAGAAATAAGACAATAAGATAAATGAGTAGATGGTGTATAAATAATAGTAAATATTTTTAAAATACATTTAGCAACATTTTTGCCTCTGGTTTTAGGAGTCCAAATCAGGAAATCTTGAAGTAACCACAAAACAGTAATACACACCAAATCATTAGTTATGGATAGTATTTTTATTAGTATTCAAAATCATTTCTGAAAGGAGATTTGAGATGCATATACATCCACATATACCACTCCCTCCTTCTTTCTTTCTCTCTCCCCCCCCCATATATATATGTATATAAATATATAAAGGGGTGGATAGGTATACGGGCACGCATACACTTAGATAGGATTTACCTCTTAACCCCCATCTTCTGCAACTGAGTATCAGTGTACGTTTTTCAAAACCAGCTGGCATGTTTCATGCCAGTAGCATGTTGGGTTTTCTTTGTCACAGAAGGTGCAAAGAAAGAACATCACAGAGAGAAGGATAAAAAAATTCTAAAACATTACTTAAAATGCAAATTTAATTAATGCTCGCAGAGATATCTTAAGTTAAATCAAAAGAGTGAGAAAGTAGGTTGTCCGTATTTAGGAAACATTAGATTTTGCCTGCCTGAGATTTTTTATAGTCTGTAGTCAAGAGGTGTTGGCCTCAATTGCATTGTGTAGAATACTTGTTTCGTTATGTAATTTATGTTACGGGGTTCAACAACAAAAATGAGTTGTTGTAATTTTTGTGAAGGGTATGAATGCAAATATCTGATTATAATAAACATGTTTAAGATTAGTTTAGTTATAGCATTTACAATGGCCTTCCTTGATCTATTCACAGCAAAAATTTACTTTCAAGCACGCTTGACGTTTTCAGCTCTTTAAAATGATCAGTATAAGTCAAAATAAATAATTCTAACTGTTGTTCTCTTTCTTTTTTTCTTTTGCAGTCACAGACTCGCAGAACTCCAAGTCTGTCAAGTCTTAACTCTCAAGATTCTAGCATTGAAATATCAAAGCTCACTGATAAGGTGCAGGCAGAATATAGAGATGCGTATAGAGAATATATTGCTCAAATGTCACAGTTAGAGGGGGGTGCTAATTCTACTACGGTGAGTGGTAGGTCCTCCCCTCACAGCTCATCTGCTTTCTATATGGGGCAGAGCACATCAGGGGGTTCCCTGCATTCAAGTGCAGAACAAGAAAAAGGAAAAGATGGTGAACAGAAACAAGATGATGGAAGAAAGTCCTTCTTGTTGAAGAGGAATGATGTTGTTGATTACAGTACGTCAGGAGTTTCTACTAATGATGCTTCTCCTTTGGATCCTATTACTGAAGAGGATGAAAAATCTGATCAGTCTGGTTCCAAGCTTCTCCCAGGAAAAAAGTCTTCAGAAAGAACAAGCATTTTCCAGGCTGCAGATATAAAGCTTAAGGGAGTTACTCTCCGTTATCAGAAACTTCCAAGTGACGAAGATGAATCAGGAACTGAAGAATCGGATAATACTCCACTTCTTAAGGAAGGTAAAGACAAGAAAGCAGATGGGAAGGCAGATAAGCAGCCCAAATCCCCAGAACATGGATCTGAACCGATCAGAACATTCATCAAAGCAAAGGAGTATTTGACAGATGCCCTTTTGGATAAAAAAGATTCTTCTGACTCTGGTGTAAGATCCAACGAAAGTTCTCCAAATCATTCCCTCCATAATGAAGGAGCAGATGATTCCCAGCTAGAAAAGGCCAATCTCATTGAGCTTGAAGATGACAGTCACAGTGGAAAGCGAGGAATTCCACACAGCCTTAGTGGCCTTCAGGATCCAGCTGTGGTTCGCATGTCTATTTGCTCAGAAGATAAGAAGAGCCCATCTGAAAGCAGCTTGATAGCGAGCAGCCCAGAAGAGAGCTGGCCTGCTTGCCAGAAAGTCTATAATTTAAACAGAACCCCTAGCACAGTAACCCTAAATAACAACAGTGCCCCAACCAACAGAGCCAATCAAAATTTTGAAGAAACAGAAGGAATCAGAGATTCCTCTCAGATTATCCTGCGCCCCGGCTCAAGTTCCAGCTCAAGCGCAGTGCAGAACGAGAACCTGAAGAGCGGGGCCCACAAGCGGAGCCAGCGCTCGAGCTATGCCCGGCTTTCCAAAGATTCTTCCGAGCTCCACACCGTGGCCGCCTCCGATGGCGCCAGGTTCGGAGAAGAGAGAGAGAGTATCCTGTGAAAGGAAGGCAGAGGAAAACGGAGCGTGCCCCACGCTTGCAGCTTGCTGGGCATTCTTTGTCAGTGTGAGGCTATGACAGCAGTGTAGTTTGAACTTTCCATTCAGTAATTAACAGATCTAGATTATTCTCAGTCATTTTCTTGGAAAGAAGAAATTTGCAAGAAGCAAAAGTCCTTCAGACTTTCCTTCTTCATATTTGTATTGCTAGTGAATATTTTATTTCTCCTCAAATTTCTTCTCCTGCCATTGCATGGAAATTTGGTTCTTTGTTAAAGTGCTGTGCAAAGGTCAGGGGCAGGTGTTACAGAAGCATGGCTTTCACTATTAAAATAATCCTGTGATTTTACCTTTTTATTGGGAGATACAATATTTATTCCTTCTAAATATTCCAGTTAAGTCTCCTTCCTTGACAGTGAAGATAAGACCATGCATTTTTACCAGTTGATGCAAAAGATGCCATATGATTAAATATCCCAACCTGTGATACCCTTATCAAACTTTGCACTAACTAGTCAACTAAGTGTGCAGCATAATATTTCGTATGTTGAAATTTTAATCTTAAGATACCATTTTGGCATTTTTATTCTGCATGTGTTCAGTAACTGCTGTTGACTCTGTGAGCTTTGAGTAGAATGTTGCTAGCTTTATAGGAAGGACTGTCTTGATGTATTGGAATTGGCAGTTGTTTATAAGGTAGTGCCTCATCATTGATTTAGTGAATGCATTATTTATTATAGGTACATAATTTCACAATCAGTGCTCTAAATAGATGCAACGACCTGAGCTATATTAAAATATTGTAGGGTTAATGTGTGAATGTGACATCTTGAACTTAATGGAGTATCTGTTGCTGTGCATGATCTTTCCCTGGTCAAATGCTTATTGTGTGGTTCTGGAATGAAAAATCGGGTAGTTGGCTGTTTTAAAAACCATGTGTACTTGCTGGAACTAGAACTATATGCCTGCTTCTTTATTTCAGGAGTATAGTATTCCAGCATTTTTATTTGTCATCTAAGTAATGCATCCGAGTGTTACTGTCGTGAATACTTTGTACTGTCCAGTGAAATATGCACGACTTTGAGGAAATAAATGTTCAGATTAGACTCTGGTAGTACAAAGTGAATAAAAAAAAGTAATTGGCCTATTGGATTTGTGTTTACTGCAGTATTTTATTTCTTCTCTTGCTAAATATGTACATGTTTTGATTAAAACACTTTCACATCCAAGTGAAAGAATGTGTTAAATAGTATGGTTATTGATACCAAATAAGCAGTAAGTATAAAAATACATTTGATACCTAGCATTGAGAAAGCAGACTTTCCTAAAGGAAGTGATATTAGCTATGGAGAGGGGACCACTTCTGGGTGTAATTTCTATATCAGAATCAACAGAGAAAGACTGGCTGTGTCTAGGCTCTTCAGTTCTTCATTCCCCAGGTGTCTGATCTTACAGCATCGTAGACTTGATCTTTACACAGTGCTGTTAAGTTAGTTCATAAAAGAATTCAATTTAATTAAAATTTATCCCCCAAAGTATTGCAGAAGTCCTGGAAAGTGTATATATGTATCTCTTCTTTATGAAGAATTACTAGTTTAACAACGATATTAGTTTAACAATATTAGTTTAACGATATTTCATGATATTTTGCCATATCTTTGAGGACATTTTTCAAATTTAGATTTCTCCTATAAAAAGTGATCTTAAGTTGTTCAACTTTCTGAAATTTTGGGGTTGCAAGAAGCTTGCTTCAGAAATATTTCTGATTCATAAGAATTAAGAAAGAGGTATTGAAGACAGATAGTGGTTACCTCAAGTTACTTTGTGTGTTAAAAAAATCTTCAAATAATTCAAGAGAAGAGAAGCAATTTTTCTTTTCATATGTGTAACTTTTTTTTTATTCTTTGAAAGTCTTACCCCCAGTGCCTTCACGAGATGGGTGCTAGGATGAAATAGGTAGTTGAGTGGAAAACTCTTCAGCCTTTCTAACTTGCATTTGTAACTAATGCAGTTACCCACCGTCACCAAAACAGATAATGAAGTGTTTCTCTAAGATTGCCTCAGCGTCAAGGTGACACTGAAGTTCAAACAACTAGCTGCCATCACAATAAGGAGCTGAGCAGTAAGAAATTTCAGTGGAGAACTGTGTGATTTCCAGTATCACAGACTGAATGCCGGCGTGCGAGGCCAGGCAAGGGGAGTGCCGCAAGCCATTTCAGTTCCAAGCAACACTTCAGTCCTGCCTCCTTCCCAAGCTGCTTTCACTGTTATATCCAGGCACTTACTTTCATTGAGAAGCTCTTTATTTAACTTCAGAGTTCCAGGATGCTTAAATCATGTGTGCTGAGGACTACTTGTGCAAAGGAACAGGGAATCTCGCATGGTAAAATTCCCTTAAATTTTTGGGTTGGGTCATCAGCCCCCCACGTCTTTGGAGAAACCCAGGAAGTTGGACATGAGCGATCAAGGCTCTAATTCCACGTGTTGACTCTGTCCCCACGATGTGCAGCTGGTGGTGTTGCCCAGGAAGCACGAGGTGTGTTTTATGTCCCGCTTGACCCAGTGGGATTAAATTTACATCTCAGAAGGTCATTCACCATAGTGTCCTGGGGATGAAGATACTTTATGCCCAGGCTGCTTTGCTGTGTCACAGGTCTGTGTGGAGCCTAGGTAGTGAGGAGGGAGGTGAGCACAAGGATTTGGTCCCTTCTTTAAAAATAATATTTTACTTTGAGCTCAGTGCTGGTTTCATGTAAAATACATGTTTCAAAGGGATACGGCAGTGCTGTTCTCAGGTGAGTCACTTAACCGTGCAACTGGAGTGCTGCTCTATGTGCTAGGTTGTTTTAGTTATATAGCTACACATTTGATGGAGTTTTATGATCATAACAATTTGTTAAACTTTTTGAATATGTGAATTGGGAAACTTGTCGTACCCAAATAATGTCTGCTGTAGTTTACATAATCAGATATGTGTTTACGGACTGCTGTTTAATGGCTTCCTAACAAAGTTCCTAGAATCACCAGGACACCACCATTTCACAGAAATTTCAAGGCCAGTACCCTCCAAAAGCCGTTCCTTAGCAGGACAATAAATATGACTGATACTTAGAACCATATCTGTAAGCTCTTCTTGCATAAAAATGGCTATGGGCAGAGCGTATGTTTCGCACTGAAGCATATTTTTTATTTTTGTTTTAGCAGGATTTACATAAGCAAAAAGAAGAAGTAGCATAAAGGGAGAGAGGAAAGGAGAGACTGAAGAGAGAAATGAAGTAATTGAAGTACAGGACAGCAGTGAGGATTTTCTCTTTTAGCACATAATCTATATTAGTTAACATATGTATTTAATGAATTAGCCACATGTAGTATATGAAAGATTAGCATTTTCAAGAATTAAAATTAAACACAGTTGCATATGGTTGAAACTTGTTTTTTTTTCTGTACCACAATTTCCATGGTTACTTGCTTGCTTTGTTTGTTGCACAACTCTTGGAATTAAGGGACCATAAACAATTTCCAGTGTTGAAATACTAAATGTTAGCTATGTGACTTGTGGGAGTAATGAAACCCAAGAGTTCCATGGAGGATGGAAATGAATGAAGAGCATAAAACAAAAACACAGCTAAAAATGTACTGCTGGTACTGGCCGCTTTCTGGAACTCCTGTGACTATAGCGAATGATAGCGAATGTATTTGCTCTAATTTTGGGTAACTGAATACCACAGGAACTTGAAATCAAGGCCTATGCCTGACGAAATCTGAAGAGCACAGTCTGGCCTTTTCCTCTTGTTCTGGTGCCTGGGTATCTTTGCATGGCAGAATGAAAATGAGTAGTTTTTAAAGGGAGGGATTAGATGCAAGCAAAGCTGAAGAGCACAGTCTGGCCATTTCCTCCTGCTCTGGTGCCTGGGTATCTTTGCACGGCAGAGTGAAAATGAGTGGTTTTTAAAGGGAGGGATTAGATGCAAGTAGCCTTGCAGTATTTGTGTGCTTTTCTGTGGCCATTTGTCAGCCATAGGATACTTGGAGCAGAGCCAGTGTAACTGTAGTCAACATTCAGCAAGAATTAGGGATCACACAGAGACTTAGAAGTCAGTGCTCTGCTCGAAAGATTGGCTCCTCAGTCTGTGTGAGGACTTGGTCATCCCTTCCCAGGTACAGAGTACATGGAGATGCTTACATGTGCACCTAAAAATGGGGAAGAAACCTATTCATAAGTTACCACTCAAAGTTCTTCTGGGAACTCAGTAGCTGGAAATTACAGGGGGCGCAGCATCTGAATATCAAGCATGAGTTAAGGATGTGACGTAAACGCGTGCTATGGGTAGCGCAAAGGTTGAAAATGATCTCAGCAGCTTGGGGATATGTTCAATTACAATACTGTATAATGCGTAAATGAACGCTTCTAAAAACATGCCACTGACAAAGAAAAAAATAGAAAAAACTTCCCTTGAGTGTAGCCATGAAGAAGACATTCTGTACTGATGCAGTGTAGCACTGTATATTATTGTGATATGCTAGAATTATTGGGGTTTGAAAATGCTCTTAAGAAATATCACCAAAATATGTTTATATTTAACTGATTAAGGTTTCCTGTAGGATACCCTAAGAAAAAAGAGGGCAAGAAGGGAAAAAAAATCAAGAAAAGTTGACTCCAGGTAAATGTTTGGATTTGTTAAGGGACAGTGTCAGGAATTACCTTTCGGTATTTTGTCCTCTCGCTGAAGCTAAGGATCCAGGTGGAACAATCTGTAACTCGTCATCAGTTTTCTTGAAGTCTCATGGAGACGTTACAACTATTAGAAGATAGGGCACAACTACTTTGAACCTATATTTCAGTACACAAAAAATAGGAGGGCCTGGGGCATTACAAGTCATCTTTAGTTTGATATCTACAAAAATATTAATCACCAGGTTTGTGTTATTCATCAGGTACTTAAACTTCAAGTATAAAAGTCAACTTGGATTTTAGAGGAATGACAGTTATTAGGTTGCTCTGATTTCCTCCTTCGACTGGGTGTCTGGCCCGCAGAATAGAGCAGATGTGCTGTATTTTGACTTGACTAAAGTTTTTCTTAGTGTCATAATTTCAGTAGATGGTGCAAAGAAGTGAAAACCAACTGCTTAAAAAGGTAGTGCTTATTATTGACCCTACTTTGGTAGGGTCACAGGGAGGTCTGTTGGGTCAGT